TCTCTTGGTGCTAAAGGATTACAACAATGCGAATGCACTTGCACTTGAAAAAATAAGGTACCGCTTATAAGCAAATAACAGTGTGAATCGCAACCACGGCAAAGAAAAGATAAGACACAAGATTAGGTACTGACATCTGCGCTCGATGAGAGTTAGTCTAAGACTTAGGTAAAATATATGTGAACATATTTTTAAAATTTTTTAATTTTTTTTATAAGTTGAATTTTTTTTATTGTTCGTCTCCACATACAGAATTCTCATATATCAAAAAGTGAACTTGAATGAGGTCCAACGGTTTGAGTTATAAGCTATTTCCCATACAAAAGTTGAAAAAGTTCCATGCTGTCGGGGTCTCCGCCATCTTGCTTGGGCGTCTCTTTTCGATGAAAAAACATTTTTAGAAGCACTTTTAGGTTAGAAAAAAAAAAATAAAATCAAAATATTGAATTTTGAAGCCATTTTTTTAAGACGTGGTTAATGGTTCAAGCCAGTGATTTTTTATAAATCGTTGATGTCTTGTATATTTAAGCAAAAAAAAAAAGGTAATTCCAGATATATGGGCTACATAATTAAAAACGGGTCGTGAACTTTTTTGGCTTTGTCTATTCAAAGAGTCCTCTTTAAATCTTTATTATATATATATATATATATATATATATATGTGTATAATCATAATATTTCTTTATTTCTCTTTTCAGTATAATCTTCTTCCTCGCGGAATATTATCCTTAAAAGTTTTACAAGAGCTCCCAATAATAGTCGTCCTAATGTACCAAATATATAAAAACGCTGTACATCAAGAAGTTGCAGAATTTATTCCTTTAATTTTGACAACCATAAATTTGCAACCCACGATAACACAAAGGTAAACTGAAATATACTCGCATTTATAACCGTTAATTGTACATCGTATATTGTATTTGTTGAAAAGTATGTATGTATATTCCGACCCTGTAAAGTAGACATATGTTTGCCACGCTAAAAGTAGAGATAGAAGAAATCGTTTGTAATAAAAAGTTTAATGTGACAGCCACCACGGTATACATATCTGATACTGAAGTCCTGAAGCAAGTCACGGTCCGCTGGCGTTCCAAAAAGTGGAGCTTAACAGCGCTGCGTTAATCTTCAGAGGCCAGATTATTGAAAGACTGCTTTTTTGTAAGCCGAATCTGTTACATCTGCGATAGAATGTATCTACTTGAAATAATGTCACCCCAAGATTAAGTCATCTAAAATTATAAAACAAATAAAAACAAGAAAGACAGCAAACTTCGGCAAGCCGAAGTTCAAATACCCTTGCAGCTATTGCAAGAATTACATACTTTTGAAAACATTAAAATTATGATTTAATTGCGAATATGTTGAAAAACATTGAAGCTATGATGATTTGCAGCTCAAATATTAGATAGTTATTTTATATATTTTTATTATTTCAATGGGAGCTATGTGATATAGTCGTCCGATTTTGTTGAAATTTAAACCGTAATTCTAAAATAATTACCCAATACTATATGTCGAAGAACTAAGAAAAAAATTTAAAAACAGCTAAGTTATAATTTTTGTTCATTGTTTTCCGATTGTTCCTATGGGAGCTATATGATATAGTCGTCCGGTTTGATTTTTTTTTTTTTTTTTTTCCCATCCGACTCGTTCCGACTTATATACTACCTGCTATAGAATGACAACTTTTGGGAAAGTTTCATGCAGATAGCTTTAAAACTGAGAGACTAGTTCGATAGAAACGGACGGACAGACGGAAAAACGGACGGACAGACAGACGGACATGGCTAGATCGACTCTGCTAGTGATGCTGATCAAGAATATATATACTTTATAGGGTCGGAATTATCTATATAAAATATTATTTCTGACTTAAATTAAAATATTATCTCAACATATATAAAATATTATTTCTACTTATATGTAAAAATATTATTTCAACATATATGTAAATAATAATAATTATATACTTAGTTTTCATTTCATAAAATATTAATTAATTACCGTGCATCGCAAGGGCCTCCAACAAATCTTATGAGACCAATAGGTGTAACAACCGGGCATCTATTGCGATCTCCGTCTCCATGCTTCCACTTTTCAACACTCAATCAATCAAAGCTCACTCCCGGGCGAAAATTTCTAAGGAAAACGACGATGCCGGAAGTATACTTTGGTAACTTCCCAAACAATTTGAGAGAGGACTTCTCTCACAATTTTTATCTTTTTTAATTTTTTTAAAGTTTTAGACTCGGGTTCTCGGTTTTCTCGGGTTCAAGATCTTTTATTCTCGAGTTCAAGATCTTTTCTTTTCGATTTCAAGAACGATTCTTCTCGATAAAGTGGTTTTTTCGTTCTCAGATTTTCTCAGTGTAGTTGAAAAAAAAAGTAAAGTTTGTAAGAAGCGTTAAATACACGCGTTATCTCGTGTTTTTGTTTTGCACTTTGGCTCCATTATTTTAGTAAAGTTATTAAAAACAACAAAACTAAAACACAAATTAAGGTCAGGTCAGGTTTCGAACGCGTATAACATGGTTTGGTAGGCGCTCGTCTTATCAACAACGCCACATGACAAGCTGGGATGGGTACGCAGTGTGGGTTCCACGACAAAGTGCTTCCACCACTGGAACCCGCAATACATCATATTTTTTTGTATGAGATGTCCCATCTATGTATTATATAATCTTTGATTTTAGTTAAAGGAATTAATAATAAAATGCTGACTGATTTAATATATACAGATTTTTAGTAATACTTTTTATTCAGTTAACCACTCTTTTCTTTTATTTAAATAAGATCAGCTCAGGTTTTTAAATAGTCTATTTACTTGGATTTCAAGTTATTTGAATAGAAGAACTCAGAGATTAAATAAAGCCTCAGGATAGTCATTTGGGACCTTTGCCATTCACTTACTAATTCTCGTGTACGAATTTATGCTGACGATGTTAAGCTTGGTTTGTCCTAAAATAATTTACAATCGGGTTTCGGTTTACAGACAGATATTTATAGTTCTCAGAGATGGTGTCAATCTAAGCTCTTAAATCTGAATTGCCTTAAGTGTAACGAATTGACTTTTTATAAGGGGACGCCTTCATTAATCAGCTATTCTCTTTAAAATTCGATTAAGGAAATCTTGTTGACCCAAAATTAAAGTTCGACTGGTTCTTGGGTTTATTAAGAGATCATCGAATGAATTACATGATCCTTATACAAATTAACTATTATTTAGTTCCCTTGTCCGTCCTAACTATAAAATTGTGCTCCCATTTGGCTTCCCAAATATCAGTACACATCGATTGTATTGAGTTGGTACAAAAAAACATTGCGGGACAACAGGAATAACAAGAATTATGGGGTCATTAATTATCCTGATGGCCAAATTGAATGGACGGCCACATGGCCACCTATCAGTTGTAAAAATCCATACCTGGCAACCGATAAGCAGCTGGCTATAATATAATTTTTAAAATTTTCTGTGCACACACTGTAACACAATTTAAATTTTCGGAGTTGTTCAGCGTTTAAAAATTCAACCATTTCCTTTCTTTACTATTATCTATGCAAAGCAAAATTAACTATAAAAATTTTTTATTGAACCTCTTGTAAGTAAAATTGAAATAAAAATAGGTATTAAAGACAACAATAAAGAAAGCTAACTTCGGCAAGCCAAAGTTTATATACCCTTGCAGCCATTGCAAAAATTAAATGTTCTTGAAAAAATGTAAATTTCGAGTTATATGCGTATATGTTTTAAAACATTAAACTATGATGATTTTCAGCTCAATTACTCAAAATTAAAAAATTAAAGGCGTAATTCTGAATTATTGAACTATTATTATGCCCGAAACAACTGAAAAAAGTACAAAAGTAGAGAAATTAAATTTTTTTTAATAAATTATTTTATTTCCGTTTTTAACATGGGAGCTACACAACTGGTTAAAATAATAATTACATAGGTATAATTATAAGTTATAAGTTATGGGTAAAGTTATATGGGTAACCCCATATATTCAATACAAAGCATAAATCTGTGCTGGATGGCCGTCTTTGCTCTGGTCAAAATAATAAGTACACTAGTAATTTTATTAAATTTTAAGACATTTAACCTAGGTTTGGGCTAAGAAGCTATTGTGGTTTTTATTAACTCCTTGCTTCTTAATGAATATTGGAGACTAAAAAAAATATTTAGATGGCCCAAAACAAGCATTGCACCCTTTAAGAAACGAATATGGTTGTAAATCTTCAAATTTAAGGGAAAAGTCTTCGGCAAATTGCGAAAAGTCTTAGACGCTCGGTGTGTTTTGTTCAATACGCATTGAACCCAAAAGCTTATGTTGAAAAAAAAGACGGAAGAAGAAATCTTTACAATCAACGGACACTGCATTAACCATTACTATATTTCGAAGAACTAACAAAAAAATTAAAAAACACCAAAGTTATAATTTTTTTCATTTTTTATGTTCTTATGGGAACTATATGCTATAGTCGTCCGATCCGGCTCGTTCTGACTTATATACTACCTGCAATAGAAAGACAACTTTTGGGAAAGTTTCATGCAGATAGCTTTAAAACTGAGAGACTAGTTTGCGTAGAAACGGACGGACAGACGGCCATGGCTAGATCGACTCGCCTAGTGATGCTGATCAAGAATATATATACTTTATATTGTCGGAGATGTCTCCTTCACTGCGTTGCAAACTTCTGACTGAAATTATAATACCCTCTGCAAGGGTATAAAAATTAAAGTAATGATAGATTTGATTATTTAAATGCAACTAACTTAATATAACTTTAATTATTTGATTATGATATTTTTATTACAATATATATAAGTAAAGACAAGACTATTTTTCATTAGAATTTATAATTTTTATTTATTGGAATCACTCCCGTTCGCTGTTTGACATCAATAAGAAATCAGTTTGGATAACTATAGTTTTATTTTTGGAACTACTCCCGTTTATTGTAATTGTTTGGATTCCTTTCGAGGCTGTTAAGAACTAGTTAATGCTAACTTAAATGTTCTCCATGAAAGCCGGGCAGAAGGCCCGACGTCGGCAGCGACGAGCAAAATTGACGGCAGCGCTATGGGCAGATTGCTAACCTTGTACTTCGCATCCGCTGCATAGCCCGCTGCATTGCTTTACCGCCTTGATCAGCGGACAGCTGACTTAGCGCCTCGTGCCCGGTGCATTCCCCTACCACTCAGTGACTCCGGTTTTGTATTTTTTCTTATAGACCGATGATTGGGAGAATTGCATCCGGTCTTACAACACCTTTGTGTTCTATGCTTAATCGCTTCGCGAGCTGATTTGTCCGACATGAATTTACTTGGGTTTTTGTCAGTAAGATGCGCAGAGAGTCGCAATTGATACGTGTTACCCGTTCGAAAGTTCTCGAAAGAATGAGTACTAAACATTCTACTACTCTGCATAACTCTATCGTGTTCTTGCCACTCGTCATTTTTAATTTATCCTCTACTATTTTTAATTTCACTCTCCTTATTGGAACAACAATTGCGCCACACCCGGCTAAGGTGAGTTCCCACCTATCCACACTTTTGAAACCCTTAAACGGTCTCAGAAGGTCACACTTCTTTCTCTCAACTCTTTATTTGAAAGTTACATTGGTTTTATTTTACATTAATAAGCCCATTGTTAGGGTATCCTTTATTGGTGGGAGATATTGACAGAATCTTTTTGAGCCGAGCAGCCTCGGTAATGGACTCCATGCTACTGCACTCTATCCGTTTGGTCAGTCTTATTTGTTTTTTGTACAATCTAAGCTTTGTATAGGAATCACTCCAGCTTTTGTCTGCATTAGTGTGTCTAGCCTTGTTTAATTTTTATGTACAATCCCATTTGAGGC